AAAAGAATGCTGTTAATGCACCAAGGTCTTCCAGTTATCAGAGGAGCCACCATAGCAAGACGTCACAGACAGGATCCCATTTATTCAGCTGGCCTATGCTCACTACAACTGTTTATGGCAGTGTGAAAACAAACCATGGTCCCTGGACAGGTCAAGAAGCAAAGATAGGCACCATCTTGGCATCATGCGCCAACAACTCAGCTACTTGCTTTGCCTCTTTGTTTACCATTAGGAGTCACAACTGGGCAAAGGACATAGATGTTCCCTGGCAGTAGGGGAGGCAATCAGCAGCCTTAATAAAACTGCCTAAGATCACAGTGCTGAACAAGACAAATACCTGATGGACAGGTATTCAGAACTAATTTCCAGTTTCACAGGCTTGCAGGAATTCAAGTCTGCAGTCTTCAGCCCACAGTCTCAACTCAGGGAGACTCATACACGCAAATTTGAGGAAATAAGAACCTTGAACATGAAAGAAATGAGTTCAGTTACCATTAGGCTTCTGTGTCTGTGGCCCTGAAAAACTTTTTTTCTGAGGCCTTGATTTTCTTGTATTTTCACAAAAAAGCAAAATAACTGAAGAGTGCAAACCATGGCTATTTTGTTTTCTGTATGGATAAATGGTCCTTTGCTTTCATGGGTTTCTTCCTTCTTTTTTGAACCGGTATTTGCCCTGTATTACAGCTAACTTTTCCTGGAGCTCTAGTATGTTGCTTTTTTTCTTTTGGTTTTTGCTTATATCTGTCTTCCCATTTAAAATTCTATACCGCACTCCCTAAACCAGTCTTGATTTCCCAACCAAAGATACTCACTTGGCTCCTAAAATCATCCCTTCCCTTTCCTTGGCTTTTTTATTTCCCCACATATTTTTTCACCTTGTTCCACCCACTCCTGGGGACAGCAGACAGCTCATAGCTAATGATGTCTCTCGAGCAAGCAGCCTCTCTAAGGACAATCCAGATTTTTCACATTAGTCTGTACAGCACATGCTTCCAACACCAACTGTGAATTCAGCACCTAGAGGGACCAGGCACAGGCATGAAATGATGCAGCCCAGGATCTTTTCCACCTCCAAAAGGAATGCATTGAGGGACATTTCGTAAAGACCAAATGGAAAGCTCTCTGGGAGGCAGGATGGTCTGGCAGATTATTGCGTGTCTTCCCTCAGATAAATCCCAGCTTTCCTCCTGCAACCTGTCAGACTGCTGTAGAAACAAATTTAAAGACTAAAAAAGAAAAGACAGGTCACTGATAAGTCCCGAAGACTAGAGACGTATTGATTGCCCACAGTTTGGGGTCCTAGCATATGATCATAAGCTCCTTCATGAACTAGAATAGCACCTTCAACTCTCAGAAACCATAATTTCAGTGACACCCTCCTAGTAGCTGCGATCCTGCTTCCACTTCCAGTGCAAGGGAGCAGGGTGCTCTTAGGATGGTGATAGACCCATGGTGCCCAAACTGCTGCTCCTTCAAGCTGCCTGTTACCAGGCTCCTTGAGAAAGCTGCTGCTGGAGGAGTTTAGTGGTGGGAAACCTTCCTGGGCAGGCTGAGAATTAGGCCCGGCTTGTCCCCAAGCTGTGTGTGACCTCTTGGTGTTCTCAGGCAATGGGAATAGTTTTTGCCTCTTAGCAGAAGCATGGCAAAGAGAAGTGTCTCTTGTGGAGGTGGAGAAGAAGCATAAGCTCATTTCTGTTGTCATCTGAGAGTACACTGTGACCATTTTCCCCCACTTGCCTTCCTCCTCTCCCTACATGCACAGGGATGCCAGAGCCGGCGCCAGAGCTCCTCTTCCTGCAAGGACGGGCACACCACCAGTGGGCAGCTCCACTTCTGGTCCAGGGAAGATGCTTTTGGAAATGAGGTATGAGGAAGTTCATTGGTTCAGCCCAGCTGCTTTCCCTGGTCCCCTCCAAAACACTCATGCCAAAAAAGAGATGTAGCAGTTTCCATCGTGTCTTCAGATACAAAACAACACATTCCAAAACAGACCTCCATCCAGCACCAAGAGGCCATGATGGGACAGCAGTGGCCAGGGAGCTGTCAGGCAGCAGCACAGTAGCTTGTCTTGCTTTTTTGAGCTATTGTTCACAGTTAGCTTTGATAAAAGAACTTTTTTTTTTTTTTCTGAGACAGACCTGCCCTTGGTGGGGCTTACAGCAAGGCAGGCAGAGAGCCTGGACCTTGCCCTCAGGAGCAGTGTATCCTCTTGGGCCTGTTTTCTTGCCTCTCATGAGGTCACTTTTAACCACACTGAGGGCTGGTGTCACACTCTGCTCCCAAGCTTCACTTTGCTCTTGTGGCCATACAAAGAACTGGCAAATGGGTCAGGGAGGCAATTTGGGAATGGGAGGGAAGGAGGATGGAGAAAAAGGAAGCTGTAGCTGATGTACAGTGTGACTATACGGGGACTACCACTGACTATGGGAAGATGGTGTCTGTTAGTAATTTGACTATGTTAAGACTTGCAAAACTCTCAGGAAGAGAAATGAGAGCTACGGAGAGGGGCGGACAAAACAATGACTTGCAGAGTGACTGGGAGCCAAGTGAGCAGGTAGCCATTGGGCTGAGAGATGGGCTGCCCCAGGGGATGGTTTTCTCTTGAAGGCACGGGGCTATTAATCACCACTGCTTGCTCTCCAATTGCACAATGACCCCAGTACTTTAGACAAGTGACTTGCATTGCAAAGGGAGCCATGCCATGGCCAGCAGCCTTACAGCTGATCTAGCAGCCTTATAGCTGATCTCTTTCATTTCCCAAGGTGAGTCTGAGTAGGCAAATGAGGGAAGCCAGGAGACATTCTCTCCCAAAGGAGCAAGATGCTGCTGGTCAGGGTTGCAGGGACCTGTGTGTGGCTTCTGCCCCCTCTCCCTGCCTGCACAGCCAGCATTGGTGTCCACAGCTTATCACTGACAGTCCTTCCAGCCTAGCTAGCTCAGGTGCCCCAAACAGGAGGGGAAAAGCTACTCCTTGATCTGATGAGGTTACCACCAACCCGACATCTTGCACCCCAAGCTGATATTGCTTATCACGCAAGCACAGAATAACACCACGGCCACTGCTGCCAGCACAAGCCTCCCTGCAACAGCACTGCCCGCCCTGACGGAAACCCTCAGCCAAGTCATGCCGTATCTGCAGGTGGGAGGTAGAGATGGGCAAGAAATGGTGGTTAAGGGAGTATGCCGAAAGCTTCCTTTTCATTAGACATCTATGGCCAGGCTTTGGACAGGTTCACTCGCCTCCCCTCATGTCAACGCTTTAAACACTGCTGAGGCCACGGGGGAAGGAGCTAAGATCCTTTTCCCTCTCCTCTCCCTCCCTGTGCGTTCTGTTTCTGACAAACGCCACATCCAAGCAGGCTATTTTTGTGCTGGCGGTTGTCGCCGTCTCTGAATTGCCTTGACGATTCTTGTGGCATCCGCTGACCGCCCGCGCTCTCCTCCCAGGAGCAGCTGCCAAGCTGAGGTCCCCCCCGCCACTGTGTCCTCCATCAGCTGGGGAAAGAAACAGACCAGAAATGTTTCATTTTCTGGGTCCGCTCAGGACAGATGGGATTCAGCATCAGATTCGGCTTTGCAGCCAGTTTGGGATTATTTCTGGCCTGAGGAAGGTGGGCTGCAGGGTGGAGGCTCCTGCTGAGCTCTCGCTGCCCCTGCCTGTCAGGCCCTTGTCCTCATTGAGATGCAAGGCTGGTGGCCACGGCTGTCCGCAGAGCAGGCTGCTCCTGGAGGCACCTTCCCCTCCCGCCCGCTCCTCCCGGGGCTGCCTGTGGAGCTATTCTTCAGCCTCTGCATTTCACAACAGCTCAAAGGCAGATGCATCAATCCTTTCAGGGGCCGGGGACGTGAGGAGAATGGCGATGGGGCCGCAGGCAGGTGCTGGTGTGTTCCCGGTCAGCTCACGAGCCTTGGCCCTGTCCCCCTGCCTGCACTGAGGCACGGGGCAGGAATAGGGGGAGGAAGGTGATGGGAGGCAACAGCCCCACAGGCACAGACAGCCAAGGGTGCTCCCAGCTGGTCTGCAAAGTGCGGCCTTTCCCCCGTGCTAGGAGGGGCTGCAACCCTGTCCACAGCGGGTTTACACCAGGGATGAATTTGGTGGACAGGTCAGGAAGCGGGGGACAACCCCATGGCCTCTAGCGAAAGTGAAGAGTGAGGAGAAAAGAGAGCGGGGGATGAGGAGGTTGTTCCTTCCAAAGTCACCATCTCTGCTGGACGAATGGCACTCCTGGCTTGCGCACTGGAATGGGTTGGGGATGATTGAGGAATGGGTCGCCAGGGCCCCCTCGACTCTCGCACAGCCACTTGGGTCCCGCTGCTCTCCTGCCCCTGGCAGTGCTCGGCGTGGGGCAGAGGGAGGGCTGGGTCCGGCCGACGCTGTCTGCAGGAGGGCTGCTGGGTCCCGGTGTTTGTTTTACCCGTAGGTGCCACAATCCTTCGACTGTGTGTTCAAAGCCTTGAGTCTGTACATTTAAGAATCAGCAAATTAGAAAAATTGTCCTGAAATGTCAAAGGGAAGAAGAAGAAGGCAGCAGGGGAGGGATTGGGAGGTAGACAGGGAAGGGGAAAAAGTGGTCGGTAAAAGAGAGTTCATCCAGGGTCACTGACCTGGCTTGGTGCCCATCACCTGTGGGCAGGGAAGGAGGGAGCAAGGAAAGGAAGAAAAGGGAGGACGAGTTTCACACATTCAGTGTACAGCATACAGCCAGGGCAGGGCTGTCCTCCCGGAGCTCCTGTCTGAGACAGCATCGCTGCCTCAGCCCATGTAGAGCCCTGCCCGAGCCGTAGCCTCACAGCAGGGTTACAATTCACTGCTTAGTTGCTTGGGGAAAAGATTCCTTCTCTTTTCTTTTAATTATATAAATCTTTTAAAGTAGTTTTTCTCTCCCTTTTTTTTTTTCCTTTTTTTTTTCAGTCATAATTTCTGTAACAGCAGCTTCTTTCTGTATTGGCGTAGAAGTTATATATAGAGGGATATCTATAAATATATATATATATAAGCCAAACTGCCTTACAGGTCATTGTTTTGTGGGGTTTTTTTGTTGGTTTGACTTTTGTTTTGTTTTTCAGTGTTGTTTGTGTAGCAGGCACTTGAGTTTATATGACAATGTTTGCTTGGGAGCTGAGGGGCAGGGCACTTGGAAGGGGGCGAGGGAAGGAAGGATGGAAGGAAGGATCAAGGACTCTTGACAAGTGGCCATGGCTAGCCAAGGATGTCCAGGTAGATTGGTGTGGCCTTGCCCAGAGCATGAAGGATCTTGTAGATCTCCTTGATGTTGAGCCGTTGCTGAGGTTCCCTCTGCCAGCAGCCCAACATGATGTCGTAAACCTCCTTGGGGCAGACTCGAGGCCTTTCCAAAACTCGGCCTTGGGTAATGCACTCAATGACCTGAAAGAGAGAAAAGCAACATCAAACACCAGCCTTCTGGACTCAAACACCAGGCAGTTCTTGGATGATGCCCCATCCCTGATGCTTTGTGGCTGTCCCCATACCATGTAGTGACTGGGTGCGGAGGAGCTGAGCCATCGTGTCACTTCTGGAGAGATGTGGCTACAGATCTCACCTGTTTGGGAGCTGCAAGGCTGCAGCTGGAGGTAAACCTTCCAGCTTAAAGCCATCAGGAATGGCACACAAAGACTTCTATCAGTTTACTCTTAAGTGCCTTACTGCATCCAGGAAATAGGAAGCCACAAGCTTCTCCAGGGGAAATTCTCCAGGGGAAAGTTCAGAACATCTCTTCCTACCTCCATCTCCAAGGGCAAATTTGCCTCACTTTCACATAAGAAAGCATCTGAAAGAACAATATTCCATCTCAGCTCACATTTGTGATAGAGGGAAAAAAAGAATGCAGTGCTAAAATCTTGCTCTGGGTCAGCTCAGTGCTGCTAATGAGAGGACTGGAGCTCCTGGTCAGATCACAATTATTTTCTTTGGAGGGCTGCTTTTGGAGGAGACTTCCCTGTTTGTGTGTTGCTCACCAGAGGAATGGCTGCAAAGGCAATTGGGATAAGCTTTGCAGAGAGCTGCTATCACTGTCGGGTGGCCTCAGTTGGAGCTGCTGAGTCCCAGCATCGCAGGGTGTGAGCGACCTGACATGCTCTGCAGATAAACACAGATCCCAAACAGAGTGCTGAGGGAAGCCACCCGGCAAGGGGCGCCTCAAGTTTCTCTTTTATGAATAGTAATGGCCCTGCCACACAGCTCAGCAGATAGTTCCCGCTTCGCTGTTAGCATATAAATATGCAGGGAAGAGATTAGGACCTGCTGAAAGCAGGGAGAGGAGACTGCAGCATGCAGGGAGGCCCGCAACCCACAAAGCTGTCAGCAGCAGGGACTTGGGAGCAGAGGTAAGTTATGGTTTCTGAGAAGAGCCCTGGATAGGAACCATGTGGTGGGCCCTGGCCCTCCAGAGTGAGGGAAGGGCATAGACTGGAGCTAATGGCCCGGCTGAGACTTTGAGACAAGAAGGTCCTTGACTCACCTCGCTGCTCAGGCAGGATCTTTTAAAGCCCTGAACAAGCTGGTGAGGGCACGAGGCCATGCAGATGCCGTGAGAGAGGAGCGAGCATCCCAACCTTGCCCACGAATAGCATAGTGCCCACGAATGGCAATGACGGCATTTGGTAGGCCTGGTTCTTGACCATAGTCCTGTGCTGGCAGCCTGAGGCTGACCAGCAATTTCTTCTCACTGTCAGGAGCTGCAACCACCCCGTGTGTGAGCCAGATGAGAGCTACTGTGGCTCCCTTTTGACACGGAAGTGTGGATAGTGGATGGCCTGCAGTGGGAACTCTCCCCTCAGAACCAAGTGTATGCAGCAGCAAGCAAGCAAAGGACGAGATCTCTCCAAGGGTGGGAAAAAAATAAATAAAACAGCCAATACAGCTGCATCCCAAACTGCATGCAGATCCTGATCAGCTCCTTTCCCCCAAGGTGGCTGCTCTCAGTCCTGCTGCCCTGCAGAGGAAACTGAGGCAGGCAGCATGGAGGCAGCGGAGCGCTCCTCGCCCGACAAACCTCTCATCTGCATACAAGCTGCATGTGCTCATTTGTGTGTGTGTTTGTATTTACCCTCCCAGGGAAATGCAAGAGCAGCTCATTAGTGTGACAAATCACTTCTGTCGCTGTCTATTCCGTTGTTTGCGACTCCAAAATGTTTGCGTGTGCGACTTTGTGATATACAGTCAGGCCCCATTGAGCACACGAATGGGCAAGTATTAGAGATGTAAAGCAACACCTTGGATTTGCCATCTCTGCAACTCACTTAATTAAGGGATCTGTGTCCAGAAAGCAGAAAATGCACATTTCTCCTTACAAAAGGTGAAATTGCTGAAATCCATTAGATACACAGTAGGATAAAAATGTGCAAGGTTCCCACAGACTGCTTTGTCAATGCATCATGTTCTTCTAGAATACTGCCTGCTATTCTGAGCAAAAATCTTCCAATGCATTTTCTGCTGATGTACCTCAAACCTCAGGTCTGGCTAATCCCTGCCAGTCTCCCTAGATTTATTTTTTACAGTGTAAAAAAGGCTGCAATTTTTGATATTCAAAGAAATAATAAGGACAAGCCAGGCCTTTGGGTCCCACTCTCAATGAATATGAGAAATCCATCTAATAGATATGGCAAAAAGCCTCACAGAGCAGTGCCATATAACCTGTCTCAGACACTGTCTGACCCAAAGACTGCAGTAAATGATCAAGAGCCTCTGCTATAAAGCAAAGAGGAAGAGAATGGGGGAAATCAAGGGCACCACAGAACTTAGATTCCAGTAATTATTTGGGTATCCCCAGTTCTGACAGCATCCCGGAGTTTATCAGATGAGGTTGTTATGAAGGTGCATCAGGAATTTAGAAGCTTGTAACTGAGGATGAACCATTACATGGCTTTGGCAGAGCCATTTAATTAATTCTTGTGTGCCTCAGTTTCCCTAGTTCTTAAATGCAGATAATGACACTTCTTACGAGATTTTTTTTTTACCGTTCTGAAAAAGGACGTAGTGAAAAAATATTGCAGGTCCTAAGGTGGGGACCATCAACAAACAATTTGCTTTGCAAGCACTGACGGGAAAAAGAAGTTTCCAGCTGAGGGATCTCAGCACTGCTGTACCTCTGTGTTTGAGAGCTGAAACCAGGGCTGCTTCCCATAGGTGAAGATCTCCCAGAGGATCACCCCGAAGCTCCAGACGTCACTCTCCGTGGTGAACTTCCTGTACATGATGCTCTCCGGAGGCATCCAGCGGATGGGCAGCATGGTGTGTCCGCCAACCTGTGCGAGGGCAAAGGCAGGAGATCTGAGTTATCCGAGCCCAAGAAAGGGACCAGCCTTGGTGTGACATGGGCAAACTCAGGGCCACTCTGCTGGAAGGAGATGTTCAGAAAAGCTGTGCAGGCTACAACCTCCCCTGCCGCCCACGGGCTTACCCTGCAGTCCCACCTGGTTAGTGTGATGGATAGGGAGTGCCACGTATAAATGATGTCCTCTCCTCCCCAAAATGGGCTTGTAAGGAAATGATATGACAAAAAGCCAAGAACATGCTCAGGCTGTGCAGGATGATGAACCAGCAGGCAACAAAAGAAACAGAGCTTTTAATCAAATAATACTGCACTGAGCTTTGCTGGAGCTTGGTGCAGAGGCACCCATCCCGAATGAAGAGTGAGGTTTGTCCCTCTTCAGTAAAGCGTCCTGAAAGCCAGACACTGGTGTTTGAGCATCACCTAATTGCATGAAAGATTTCCCACTCGTAAAACTGTGCTACAGGCCTTTTCAAAGGATGCTTTAAATATATAAATGACTGCAGGACCGCACTGAAAGAGAGCAGGCTGTTTGTCAGCCTTTTACACACAGGGATATGCCCAGCATTTACTGGAGGAGGGGGGGCCCTCCCCTCTGGAGTGTGGGTTTGGAAGAGCCCTTAGGCAAGTCCCATTGGGGTCTGTTAATTGAGGGAAAGCCTCTTTCTTCATCAGGGTCCACCCATCTCTAGGGCACGTGAATCCAGCAGGTGGGTACATGCAAACAGTTTGAAAACAGATGGATTTACCTTCATATTCACTAGAGATTTCTAAACAAGTGTCTCTGAACAGGACAAATTTTTCTCTGTTCTGTCCCTTTGCTCAAGAAACACCATCTGTGGGGGAAGAGCTAATTGATAAGAGCAGGCAGTGCTGGAAGCAGGATGGCTGCAAGTCTCCAGCATTTGTTTCTGCTGAGGTTTTACTGGGGATGAGAGAGCACTTTTGTGGCACTGCTTGGAAGACTGCTTGTCTCATTACAGACGCCAAGAAAAACATGCGCTAACCCCTTTGTAGCACTGCAAGAGAGCCAAAGGGACAGGAATGTCTCTGGTTCTGTGAAAAACTGGGAGGAGAAGATAGCTGCTGTCTAGGTTTTCTGCACATGTGCAACTGTTCAAAAAAAATGAGGTCATTGTGCTTGTTTGGATGTAAATGTTTCTTGTACAAACAAACATTCTCTTCCAACCACCCAGCCTTCCTAATCTCCCACAGGTTTCTCTGCTTGATTAAAGCAGACTGAGTGCAAGGAAGAGTCAGTGCTGAGGCCAACTGGAGTGCTGGGGAGCAACAAGGACAGCGTGGAGAGGTGTGCTGGACTAGGCTGTGAAAAGGGTATGATGCTTAGCAGGTTTTCAGTAGAGACTGTGGGAGTAGGACTCCTCTGGAGTTAGAATTTGGGTTTGCAGTGTTGTATTGAGTTCTGCAGGCTGGCTCTGTTTCTATGACTAAAATAGTCTCATTTAGAAAGGAATAAAATAGTCAATATGAGGGAAGGGAAGGGAAGGGAAGGGAAGGGAAGGGAAGGGAAGGGAAGGGAAGGGAAGGGAAGAGAAGAGAAGAGAGAAGAGAAGAGAAGAGAAGAGAAGAGAAGAGAAGAGAAGAGAAGAGAAGAGAAGAGAAGAGAAGAGAAGAGAAGAGAAGAGAAGGGAAGAGGAAAAAAAAAACAGAGAAGAAGAGAAAAAAAAGCCTCAGGAGCATCCTTCATTCCTAAGTGCAGAGATGCTCTGTACTGAGATGCCTGAAAATAAAAAGCTCATTGTAGCTCTACGCCTCCTGGTTATAGACACCTTGGCTAGCATGATCTCAGCTTGCTGCTCTAATCTCCCAAGAATGTCCTCCCTTAATGGAAATGGAAATAATCCTTCCTTTGTTTGTTCCTTTTAAACCTTGGCTGCAATTTTAGCTCTTTTCCTGCATTTCCTGCTTTCATGACTTGCTTTCCCTTCTTGAGAAGGGCTCCAAGGAAATGTTATTGACAGAACATGACATACATCAAAGTTGACTGTTGCAAAAAAAAAAAAAAAAGTTTTGTACTAATGCTTATTTTGTTCCCTTTTGAGTAGCACTAATTCTTCAGCTTTCTAGCAAGCTCAGAATAGTTACTTATTGCAAAAGCTTTCTAGATTTGCGCTATCTTGAATCTTGCAGGATCATCAGGGATTGCAGGTAGTATAAAGAAGTGAGCACATTTAACTCCCTTTTGAACTAGTCTTACAGAGATATAGAATCTATGAGCCTGATCCTCAGCTTACAAGAACTGCTCTAGTGCTTAAATGAGAGTACCCTGATTTACACCATTTGAGAATCCATCCCCCAAAAGCAGAACAGAGAAGCCTGCAGGTCTACCTCAGGTCTACTAAAGCAAAATACAGTCCAAGTCTTTGGTCTCTCCTAGACACATCCTGGTGAAAAAATGCCATTAAAGCATCAGTGGTCGTCCTGATGATCTAATGACACAATCTTGGCTTAATTCACATTGTGGCATCGAGGGACTGCCAAAGCATTCATCTCAGCCTTATGTCATGTGAGTTCTTTTTTAACTAAAAATAAATCCATTAATAATTGAAAAAACAAGCCAAGCAGCCCCCACAACTGTATGGCTCCCAAAATGCGCCTTAGCTATGTTCACAGATAAAACCTGGTGAGGTGTTCTGTGCACCTGAAATCGGGTGGCACTCTTTTCTAAGAGAAAACAGTCATGCACCTTCTAGCTAACTGTTACCAGAAAAGGCATACATTGCACTGCACCATAAAACCACTCCAGTGTCAAGCTTAGCACATAAGGCTATTACATATATAAATGTACATATTACATTTTAAAGCATTGTCTTTGACTGACCCTTACTGCGCCCATCACAGGCTGGCTAGGATTAAAATTCCTGTTTTGCAGATGAGAAAAGGGGCACAGGAAGGCAGGGAAAGGCCCTTTTGTGAAGTTATAGAGTAAGTGAACACTCAGACAAGGCTTGCCAGTCTGCACTTGGCTGCACCCTGTTATTTGCTGAGTTAGCAAAATGATTTAGAGTTGAGCAGAGATGGATTAACCTACAGATGCCGTGGGAAGCAGAGTGTGCTCAGAGTGACAGCAGCCCCTTGCATACCATATATTTGCTGTGATCTGTGTTGCAATAGTGTAGACTTGCACGTGATTCCCAAGGCTGCATACTTCACTTACAGGACCTGTCATTGCCAAAGGCATGAGCACAAAACGATGCAATTAAATTAGGCTAAAAAAAAAAAAAAAAAAAAAAAAAAACAAGGATTCCCTTCTGCAGAGCTAGTTTGTCCTTGGCTCTGGAAAGGAACATGATTGTGTCTTTGGAGCACAGATAAAAGTTTGCCTCAGTCAATCCTCTATTAGCTCAGAGTTGGACCTGTCAAGCTCTGAAATAAGTGACCGTGCACGGCTGATGCCTGTCAATCAGGAGCATGCTACCCTGTGTCTTTCCTGAAAGAACCAACTACCTTCTATCCCACCTCCCCTTTCCCCCGGGGAGTCAGGGATGGGGTAGAACCCAGACACCATTCAGCTCATATTCAAAAGTAAGGATGAAATGTCCCCAAATAGCAGCACGCCAGCATCTTCCTTGGAGACACTATATAACCTGGCTGAGGGTTAAGATATTTAGCCTAAATTATCTTCTATTCCTCCATTTAAATCCTATGATGTTGCCAAGCTCTTTTTACTTGTTATTTCAGTGTTTCTGAGACTTGCAGACTGGCCTCTTATCCCATTGCCATGGCTGTCCAGCTTAGCTTGACATTTTTAGCTTTCTTTTTCTTCCTAGATCAACTCCCCCTGCCCACATGCCCATGTTATTCCCCTGCTTTTCTCCTTCAGCCTGCGACACTTTCCTGGTAATAAATAGAGCAATCAGTGCATATCCTCTGAGCTGTTGAAGTTTCCCCTTCTTGCTGTCTCCATTTCAAGATGCCAGTATGACCTAGTGATTTCCATCACTTCCAAGCGGACACTACCTCGTCTACAGCCACACGTTTCTAACACTCCAGGGCACGTGGGCTTTGCTCTGAAGCCTCATTACACATCCAGCCCACAGATTGCAGGATAAGCAGCCACTCCCTTGGAGGAGCTTATTGCTGTATTAGATCAGAGCCGCTGGGAGCTGGGGGAGATTCATGAGAGGACAGCATTAATGGCCATTAGGGAGAGGGATAATTAGTTAATGTTAGTACAGCTCTTAGAAAATGTAAAGCTATATAAGTGCTATGTACTAGTAGTATTATAAGATTCTAGGTTTGTCTGCTAGGAAAGGAAACTGGTGTCTGGGGAAAGGATTCTCCTTGTCCCAGCTTTCTGAATGACATCTAGCTGATTAGGAAGGAATAAGAAGACATGTCATCCCCAATGAGTTTGCCAGCACAGCGACAAGCAGGGGAGCAGCAGTGCTCCAGCAAAGGCAGAGCGATGCATCAGCAGTTTGGGCCCTTTTCAGTGATACCATGGAAATCAGAACCAAACCAGAGCTGAAAAGCCCCCATGAGGATTTTGGGCTTGTGAGAACCCAGATCCTAACATGCTGGCTTGGTGGCCAGCCCTGCTTTCCTTCTCCCAGCCCCCAGGCTAATTCCAGGGCTCTACGCTAAAGGCACTATTCCGTGGGGATGGAAGGGGGAGGACTGAGTCATCCTCGCCATACTCACTGCTGAAGGCTGTTTCATGATATTAAGTGACAGCTAAGAATTGGATATGGACTCTGTTATACTCTAAGGTAGTGCTTTATTTTCCTTTCTTGTGCAGTTTTCTTCTCAACTTTGAAATAAAAGATTCAGTGCTTTGCTTTCCTTGGTCATTTGACATTTGCTTTGCACAGTCTTTTGACAGCTTAGTGCTGCTGGCACACTTTGAGGAGGCTCTACTCCTTTGGCTGCCTTGGAAGAGCCACAAGAATAGCAGTAGGTGTCTTCGTATGGTGCAGCATTAGCTGAACTTCCCTTTTGTGTGCACAAAGT